TCATGAACCCGTGCTGGCTGGGCCTGGTCCCCTGGTTGTCCCGCTCATGCCTTGTGAGCGCCCTCAAGATGAACCGCTCCATAATCTTCCCCGGCACCGAGGTCAGGCTGACAGGCCTGTAGTTCCCCGGATCCTCCTTCCGGCCCTTCTTGTAGATGGGTGTCACATTGGCAAGCCTCCAGTCGTCCGGGACCTCCCCTGTTAACCAGGAATAGAGTCAACTGAAAATGATACCATTTCCTGCACAGAACTTCACTCAGAGATGAATATTTTATTTTATTCTTACATTTCACTCTTTTTTTTTTTTAAGTTCAGAGCAATTAGTCCTCTCCAAAGCCTAAATTCTCAAAGTTTTCAAGATTTGATTTTGTGATTGAACTATAACCTTCGAACATTTTTATAATGCGATAGTGACTGTAGCATGTGTTTAAGACACAGATTACACGCAGCCCCCAGGGTTATGTGCAGGGGCTGCAGCGGCTTTGAACCACGCTGGGTCCCAGGGCTCCAGGTCAGCTTATCACGCTGCCCGGCACCCACACAGCTACACACGGGCCCGCTGGTGCAAACAACTGCTGGTATTGGCATGTGGTGTTGTGCAGAAGATGATCAGGCCTGCACGTGCAGGGGCTTCTGTGGCCAGCCCCACCACCTGACTGGCACATGCAGGGAACTTGGCAGGGAAACATGACGTACAACTTGCACCATTTTTCAGCTATGGAGATGGGAGTCTTGGCTTGTCAGATATCCTCAAGCTTATGCACACAAGCTCAAGCAGAGCAGAAGCTGGTGTGACCCTCTCCCAAGTCTTTCATCACACCGTGCCTTGTGTGTCCTCCCTTATACATACTGTATTTGCAATACCACACCGTACGGTACCAAACCATACCCCTACCCCACCCAAGCACACAAACTCCAGAGCCATGCACTTACACGTATTAAGGCAGCAGTACCCAGGCAAGGCCAAGCATACCTATCCCTCTGCTGTGCTAGGTGTGTGTTGTGTGCCTCCACAGCCTTTGCTCTGATTGCATGTGCACCCTACAAAAGTGGCAAGGAGGGGGCTGGTTGCCACATGTATGTGGCAACATGTATGTGTTACATACATGTCCGTGTATGTGTTAGACAAATAGTATTTTGGCCAAATAGTAAAAAATGTGAGGGCTGAACACACCCTGCCTGGTGTGTTCTTGATTATTTGCTGGGCCAGAGAAGTCGTGTTTTGGGACTTTTTCACTGCCAACATGGGATGCAAATGGGTCCCAAACATCCTCCCCCCAATCATTTGACCATGAAAGATGCTTTCTCTGACACATAGGTCAGGTAAGTGTAGTAGCTGAACTTGAACTTGTTCCTGAGCTCAGAGGGGAAAATAAGTTCCTGTCACCCAAACAAGGAGTGAAAAAATCAGTGTTGTAGGATTTGTGTGACAAGCCACAGAAGATGAACAGGGAATAACTGGAAAAAAGAAGCCATGGATGGAATATAAATTTTCCACACAATTCAGCACATACTTGCTTAATAATGAAAGAATAGAATTGGGGCACAAACAGCTGATCTAGTAAGTGACGGCTACATTAGGAAGAAATCACACAAATGGAAGTGGTACAGAATTTCAGGGGCTCTGGGGACATCCTTCTTGGATTTGCTGCCTTTTAGTCACCGGCTAGAGTTTAATAGCGACTGTGCGGCTGAGCAAGCCTGTGGCACCCGTGCTCTGCCCAGCAGAGAGGGGGTCTTCGCCTGGTAAACTCTGCAGGTTGTGAGAGGGAGAAATTGCACTTCGGTCCCATGGGGCTCTCCTGAACAGGGGGCTTTTTTTTTTTGGCTCCCCCCTGCCATTAGAAATAGCTCTTCTTGGTAGTAAACATGTCTTCTTTCTTCCACAGCAGGATCGGTCCCAACATACAGACTCATTTCCATCTCCACACTTCAGCATCTTCCTGCACCCCTTCTGTGTAAATCACCGCCTATACATACACATATGTGTATGTGTACACATACATGTACATATGTGTATACATATATGTGTACACGTACATGCATGTGTACATGTACATATACATGTACATATATGCGTACACCTATGTGTACATATGGATGATGAGCATGCATTTGTGAAACCACAGCCATGTACACCTCCCTGCCCCATTACAAAGAAAAGGCTGCCAAGGCTTGGTATTGCAGGGTGAATTTAAAACAGCATCGCTGCCTTTAAAGCCATCCAGAAAAGGAAACCCATAAATGCAAGGATGAATGAGACGATGTCAGGAGTGTTAGCACTTAATATTCCTGGAGCGAGGCTGCATTATTTGTTGCTGCGGCAGAGCGCTCCTCCCTGCCTCCTCTGACAGACCCCTGTGCATGCACGCACACACGCATGCAAGTTCGTCACCCACCCTTACGAAAAATCACCCTCCCTGGCACACCCTGCACCCTCAACCCATAGCTGTCGTGCCACAGGGCTATAAACACAACAGTGAAGCTTTCCTCCACCCCAATTAAGAAATAATTGCGGCGCAGCCCCTGGGAGGGGAGGTGTCCGCTGGTTGGGCCCATGTTTTATTGATCGGACCACTGTGATGAATCAGCCCCCGTGGAGCCGGTGTCTGGCTGCAGACAGGCACTGGCCACCGCGCAGAATTACAACAAGCCCTGGCATCCCAGGGCCACTGCTGGGAAGGTGACGGAGCGGGGAGGTGCGGGGCTGCTGGCTGGGGGGTGCGCCGTGCAAAGGTGCGAGCCATGCCTCCACACCAGGTGGCCAGCAGCTCCCAGCCACAGGCACGGCGAGGGATGGGATGGGGTCGGCAGCCAGGGCTGAGCCTTCCCGCTTGCTCCAGGGCCTGTTTCTCCAGCCTGGGTGTTGCTTAGGGAAAGCCACATGCCGTCAGAGCATTGGGCGGGAGGGGAGGATGCTGAGGAGCTGGCAGGCAGGAGCCTGCAGTTGGGCTGAACGGAGGCTCACCTAAGCGGGAAGGCGGCTGTGCCTTGCAGTCCCAGCCCACTGCTGCAGGAGCAGCCTGGGAGCAAAGCGCCGTGTTCCTCTGTTACCCCCGCCTCACCCATCCGCGTGTAATCTTGTCCTCTTTTCTCTCCCTTCTCGCACCCTGCAGGACCCGGCACAGGGAGAGTAGACAACGGCTCCATGAGTTTGGCCGTCCCACTGTGGCTGCTGGCAGCGTCCCTGCTCTGCCTACTCAGCAAATGTTAATACAAATCAGAATTAAAAATAATAATAATAATAATAATAATTAAAAAAAACCAACACGACAACAACAACACCACACAAAAAAACCCCGCGTTATACAGGAGACAGAGCGAAGAGAGGGGAGAGAGAAAAAAGAGAGGGGGGGGAGAGAGAGGACTGTTTCTTTCACAACTTTTGTGTGTTCAGGAGCAAAGAGGGGGGGAGAGGAAAAATTACAGCAAAGAAGACTCAGCAACATTTAATCCAAAACCTGACAAGCCGGCTGTCAAGTCACCGACCGTCATAAGAGGCAACACGAAGCGAGGGAAAGAATGGGGCACCAGCAAGGATCGTGTCGCCGGAGGATGCTGCAATGTAAACAATCCAACAAAACCCGCAAAGCCAATTGAACAGAAGACCCCTTTTCTCTTCTCTCCTCCTTCCTCTTTTCCATGCTCCCTCACCTTCCTTCCTTCCTTCCTCCTCTTTCTTTCTTTTGCGGAAAGAGGTCTTTGCTTCGGTGTCTATAGCCACTTAACTTTTTGGATGCCCTGGGTCATGTTTGTGAGCTGATGCTCAGCCAGTTCATACTTTTGAAAACAAAAAAAAAAAAGAAAAAAAAAGCCACAAACCAGAGCAAGTCACCTGAAGCTCTCTGCACACTGGTGTCCTATGAAGAACCCCTTCCACTCTTCACTTCACCCTGCGCTCCTGTGCACCCAGCCCTTGCTAAACACCTTCTTTCCTGTCCCCTCCTTCATGCAACATCACGCTGGCTGGCCTGAACTAAAGCTGTGTCAACTCTACTGAAAGCATACTTTTCTTTCCCTTTTTTTTAATCCTCTTCCTCTCCCCCCTCAATCCGACCAGGTGTCTTTCTCTTTCTCCCGTGTATGCCTGTGTGCGTGCGTGCATGCATGTATGTGTGGCTCTCGCTCCGTCTTCTCTCTCTTTCTCTCTTTCTCTTGCTCTCTCTAAGCATGCAAAAGGAACAGTCCATGTGTACATATGCTCATCCTGCTGTAGATAATGTCCCGCCTTGTAAGTGTGAGACAAGATGCTGAGAGATCACTCAGGCAGAGAAGAGGAGTGAGGAGAGAGGGGCAGCTGCAACACAGGTTCCCATGGTGTCCCCTCTCCGGCATCCTCACTGGCTTCTTGACTCCTGGCCACCTTGCTTGCAAGAGTCAGTCTGCACCCTTGTTTAGCCTTTTTTTCTCTCCCACCTGCAACCTGCCAGGCTTTCAGCCTTCAAGTACCAGCATAGCACCCCCTGCTATGCACGAGTGCTTGCACACACGCATGAGGGTGTGCACACGTGTGCATTTGTCCAAATAAGCAGAAGAAACCAGGACTGGCCTGCAGCACTACGGAGTGCCGAGTGCGGCCGCCCACTCCTCCTGGGGAGGGGAGGCTGGGCTGGTGGGATGTGAGCGATGAGACCTTGGACACCACCGAGCAGCCATTCCTGTAGGTATAGTGTGTGCGTAGGAATGATGCCTCAACGGGAAAACCACAATCTGGTCATTCCTAACCATTTTGGTAGTCATGCAAAAATAGAGCCAATACCCTTTTTTGTTGTTGTTCTTACTGTCTTTCCTGTTATAAAAGGAAACATGCTATGTAAGGGTGAGAGAGAGCGCGCGCGTGTGTGTGTGTGTGTATTATACACTACTGCTACTACAAAGCTCACTTTGCAAATTCCACGTTTGAAACAAATTGGGTCAGAAAATGTCCAGGACCTGTGAATGTAAGAAGAAAAACAAATGTCAGGTCCAAAATCCTGGGTTTATAAAGAAGGAGCTTAAAGTGGTGCAGCAAAGAAGTAGGCAGCATGATTCCCCTTGCTCTTCTCTTTTCACATCTGAAGGTTGCTGGTCTTGCTGGAGAGGGTTATCACTTGCCATCACCCTTCCCATGGCAGAATCCCGTGCAGAGGTGCCAAAAGGAGATGCTCCAGTGGCTCCTGAGCGAGGAGAAGGAGAGGGAGAGAACAGGCTGTGAGAAACAGGGTTAAGAAAATGCTGGGTGGTGGCTGGAAATTGCCATGCCAGCAACAAGTCTGCTGCGGGAGCCAGAGCGAGCAGTGGGAGAGGGGAAGCCAACAGTCGTACGCTCCAGCGGCTGCAGTGCATGTGTGCAGGCGGGGGCAGTGGGGAGAAGACTCCTGTGTTTCCTGGCCAGTCACGAGCCCTAGCATCCACAGCAGCAAAGGTGATAAAACACGGGGTTTATCAGGTAGTCACTTGGTTTTTGGGGAGAGGGATAAGCAGGGAGGAACTTGAGTTAGCCCACACAAGTTGAGTAACCATCCCATGACAGCACAGTGTTTTGCAGGTGCTTGGCACCACTGAGCTTTCAAGCACCAGCAAGCTTGCTTTTCTGTCTTTGCCCTGTGAATTGGCGCAGTAGCAGCATGCTTGGCAGCCATGCTCGCACGCTCTTGAAGGCAAGGGGGAAACAGCTTGGGCTTGCAGCCCTGCGGCGTGTGGGAGGGGATACCCACCGGCTGCTCCCCTGCCAGGAAGGAAAGTGGGAATTGCTGGGGCATTTTTGCATGGCTGGGGCACACTCTGCCAAGGCCTCTCCCTGCCCCTCAGTGCGGCGCTTTCACCTTGCACTGCGGCGCTGCCGGTGCCTGCCTCCTCTCTGCTGAGCTCAGCTGTTCGGGCAGCAGCGGGCAGCAGCAGGCAGGCAATTAAGCATGCAGTCAAGGACTCCTCGCAGACAGCCAGAATGAGCGAGGAAATACTAAAGAGAGACACGAGAGGCTGAAGTTTGGGTGATGGCAGACTTGCTATAGACCTGCTGTGGGTTTGGATGGTGGTAAATTATGCTCCTCCAGGCCCCAAAGCCATACCTTGGTACAAGAGGGGAGAGCTGGGCAGCTGGTGCTTGAAATCTGCCCAAGGCATCCAGGGACGGCTCCCCACTTCCGAGATAGGGCAGTCGTTGATGGGACTTGTGCATCTTCTTTGGAGACTGGCGTACTGCGGCCCAGGAAAAAAATGCCCGGTATCCTTCAGACACCCCAGTCCTCATGCCTACCTCTCGTGAGGGTTGTGTCATTCGGTGTCTTAGTAACAACTCCAGATTTCCTGCTGCAACAGGGCTCCTCATGCCCCTGGTACAGCCGTGAGCTGATGCTGGTCCCAGAAGTCGGGCCTGGGAGCTGGACCCTCTCCAGTACGCTGGCATGAGGGAAAACACCGCATCGCTGGCATTTCTCATTCTTGGGGCTGTACCTATGCCTGGATTTATTGTCGTGGGCTTGTTGCAAGAAGGTGGGCAGCCTGCAGTGTCTTGCTGTCACAGGCTGTTTCTAAGGGCTGGGTCAAGCCCACCATTTTCTTTAGGCTGAGGCTTCTCTTTGATGCCAACCTGGTTGCTATTGTAAGGTCTCTCCGGCGTGTTGTCCTCTGCATGTGTTTTTGTCGCTGTGGGGTCAGTCCTAGGCACTGGGTTCACACACATCAGAGCCCTGTGGTGTGGTGGTGGTCACAAGTCCCGGCACCTCGTTGTCTTACATCTTTTTTGGTTTGAAGGAGTTTTGAGGGGATATTTTTTCAGATGTCAAGGCACAGAGGCTTATGGTTGAAGGGAAATATATTACTAAAAACAGGACACCCGTTTTTTGAAGCCATCTGCCTATTAGCTAGAGGAAAGAGCCACAACCCCAGTGCTGGGATCTGGTCTTGCCTGCAGGACCTGGGCAGATCTGTGCCTCCATCGTGTGGCTGTGAAACAGGGTTAAAGCCAGTTATTTGCAGACCTGTCTGAGAAAAGCCACAAATGCCAAGTATGCCTGTTATCTGCAGCAGTGCTGGGAGGCCCACTCCTGGCAATGTCTGTTCCTAGCAGGGCTGGGGGAGTCGTGAGTAGGCTGGAGCATGATTTACTCTGAGAAGCTAATCCTGCGAGCTGCCTCATGCATCACGGGATTCTGTGAACATCCCCCTGTTTCTCCTGAACTTGAGCAGGGATCGCTCAAAGCATCTGTGGAGAGGAGAGCCCAGATGAACATAGGAAACACAGGCAAGGTCAAACGCTTTTCCCCATTCTCTTGCTCCCCTCTGCCCTTTGACAGAGATGTTGCAAAGGGTTTTCTCATGTCTCAGGCCCTTTTCTCTGAAGCTGTTTTTCCTCCTCGCTTCTACTCTGTGTTCATGTTGCTATCTTTCCCATCCCCTCCTGAAAAGCTGCGCTCTTGCTTCCTGCTGCCTCTCAGCTGGTTGGGGACTGGGGGAGACGGGAGTTTGGAATGGGACACCAGTTCCTTGAGCTTGTAAGTGTAATTGTGTTTGATTGATGGAGATTTAACATTTAGTGTTATAAAAAGAAATGAACAAAATGGAAAAAAAAAAAAAGAAAAAAAATTGTATTTCTTCTACTGGTTTGTAAATATTACAAGAGTTACATGAGATGTCTGGTAATGTCCAAGCAGAGGAACAAACACTTAGATTTAATATATGGCCCCATACTTGCTAGCAGATTTCTAACCCTTTTCAGATGACCGAGAGGGGTGAAGGCAAGTCTTCCTGAAAGGAACTGGACAGGGGAAATGCAGCCACCCCGAGGCACATGAGCTCCATGCATGACTATAGCATGTTGCTTGGAGCATGTGTCTGGTGAGATGGAAAACGAAGCAGATGCCTGTCTCTGGACGGCTGGGAAGGGCGACGTGGGACGCTCCAGCCGACACCTGTATCTTGGCAGTTGTGTTAATTTTTGTTTGTTTGCAGCCCTGCAGCTTGCGGGTATGTTGCTCAGTGATGCACTCCCCTCCTCCCCCCTTCCCGCTTTCTTCACCAGTGAAGTTGTGTCGCCCCATGCTAGCACCAAGTGCATGTTAACGTGCCATTCATGAAGATTTCATTGGTGACATGCATTGTGTCGAGAGTTAGTCTTTGTCTGCGCACCTTTCTCACGCCACTGACTGTTCACTGCTTGGGCAGATCTCTCGTGTACTGCTGCTTGCCCCACTTTTGGTCAAAGTATATCCAAGCCCCACCAGCTCTTCTTAGCTCCAGGTGCATCCAGACCATGCCCCCAAGCCACCTGTCTG